CAAAGTACAGTACAGTATAGTACAGTATGAAGAGAGAGAACGCTAACCTTGCTTGAGGCGACTTCTGGCGTGGAGGACAGGAAGGCAGGTGGGGAGGCGGTTATTGTTTTGGAGGGAGAGTCCCCCTCCCTACAGGAAGCCACGACCACGTGTCACAGCAGGGAAGATGGCTGCGGGTCGTGTTTGTCACCCAATGCGGAGTTTGCGAACGGAAGCAAAATTTTGTGAACACTGCTATTCGTGAACCGAATTGTTCGTGAACAGAAGCGTTCGTGAACCGAGGTATTACTGTATTTATGTGTCATTGATACCACGATACTCTTTTTTTCTTCATTTTTAACTCACTAAAGATGTTTGTATCAGTGTATGCAAAGGTTTCCATATTCCAACTCCTGAGCTAATACATACTCCTCATACATCACACCTGACAATTTCACTTGGAGGCCCCTGATTCAATTATCAGATTAATAAAGGATAAGGCTCTTTTGGTATCTCTGTGTAAATAAGAGTGTGATAATCTGTTCTACCTGAGAACTAATACTAGTTCTAATGAGTTAGATGGGCAGCTTGAACATTCTTCTGCTGGAAAAATGGTAAGGCTTGAAAACTTGCTTTTAAGGAAAGTAGCAGCCGTTTGTAGAAGATAAAGAAAACTCACCAGTGCTCTATTTATTGTTTCTTTAACTATAATATTCTGATCTTTTTGCAAATACTAATATAATATATTTCAAATATTCTAAAGTACATAAGTAGTTTTGAAAATGTGTTGTTGAAAGACATTCTTTGGAGCATTTATGTAGCACTTGGAATAAAGTACGCCACATGCATAACTTTCAAGTTTTTCCACAAGCTTGTAAGGTATGCCAATGTTACGTTATACTGCAGGTTAAGGATGAGTGAGCTGAGACTGAGACGTGATAGTGATCATTGTGTAAGTTTTTTGAGGGTTAACAATAAAAAAAGAGAAACTTTCACTAGGGTTTCTCAACAAGCTCTAGGTTCTTTAAATGTTAAAAGTAATTCATTTCAGAACTTCAGTGCAAATATCTATTTATTGTGTAGGACATGGACTAATAATTTTATATTGCAGAAAGGCAGATTCCAGTTAAATGTTGTGAAAAAAGTATCAGAGCTGTTCCACCACAGAATCAATTATAAAGGGACCTGGTAGGCTTCTCTTCTTCGGTTGCGTTCAAGTTAGAGATACTTTACTTTGGATTTCTGCACAAAGCAGTGAATTGAGCTTGATCGTCTGCCACCTCTACAATTCTGTGTGTAATAAAACTTGATGTCCCATTAAAACATGGAAGAGAATCCTAATATTTTATTTTTCACATCCTTTGAATGAAGGAGTAATGATTGTCATTGTAGTTCTCTTGTGCAATTTTCAAATATCCTTGATAACATTTGAACCAGAAAGAGAGATGTAAATGCACATTGATTTAAAAGCTCGTCCCTTTCAAGGTGTTTTCCTACCATTTTCCATCTACATGTCATTGGAAAAAAAACATCCATTCTTATGAATGCTTATTTGGAGATGGAATTACATCTAGATGCTGCTGGTTAATTCTATTCATATATTCTGTTTTCCTCAATTTTAAAATCACCCTCCTATTTACTGTTTTCTTCCATATTGGATTTGCATAGTGAGTAGGAAAAGCAGGGTTAGTGGAGAGAAAAAGAGAGAGAGATTCTTAAAGGAGTAGACTTTTTTTGATAGAAAAAAGAGTCATTTTGAAAGAGGAAAGGATTTAACAGAATTTAACAGAAAGAACTTACATTCTCTTCCACCTAATCCAGTTTGCCCTACTATTAATTTTGTTTTGGCTTTTTAAAGTATAAGATGGATAGCTGAAATAAATCATTTTTTAAAAGATCTGGGGAAATAACAGATTCTGCTAACAACATCCTATCAATGAGGCAGACAATCTGTAGGTCAAGAATTGCTGGTTGGGAGAGTTATGCAGGAAGTTAACAAAAAAAAACTTTGCTACAACAAACTTGCCAAAAATATCTCTCAAATATTTATCTGATCTCATATATTTTGGAAGAAGGTGTGTACAGTAATTTACATTATACTTTCATTATTTCTAGGAAATGATGTATATCTGGAATGGTTATGCAGTGATTGGGAAGTGCCCAGACTTAACTGAAAACATGCTGGAATCCTTAGCAGACGCAGAAACAATCCTGGAAAAAAGCCCAGGTAATTCAGGTCTCATTTCAGATGCGTCATTGCAGAGGGGACAGCCAATGAGGGCAATTGCACTTGTCTTGGAGCTCTGGGAAGTGAAACAAGTTCATCTATTTTTCTGTAGTCAGTGATTGGATTAACTGTAGGTAGTAATGATAGCAGTAATGTTGTTACTGCTGATTGTCCTGTTTTATGTTCAGTTACTCCCCCATGACATAATTTTATACTAGTTTGAGGAGATATGTATCACTTTTAGGAGTACCTTTGGCATTTGGTTGTATGCCCACTTGATAAAAATCCGTCTTCAGCAATGATTGACTCAGTTCTTTAAGGGTGCTATGGTATCCCTGCGTGTTTGAGAATCAGATACTGGAAATAAGCAGTTCAAAGAGCACAAGGCAGGCATTTAAGAAGGCTAAGAGGGCAAAAGGCAAACTTTTTAAAATTTAGGAATAGATGCCCAACAGAGCTCATGCAATGACAAATATTTGTTTTCTTTCCAGTTCAATAAGCTATGTAATTTATTTCCTTATAGATTGGTAATTAGCCGTCGGTAGTGTCTTTTTGCTCCTTATAATTGAGAGAATTCTGCTTCCTATTACATTTTATCACTCCTTCCCCTTTCTGCCTGTACATATTAGTTATAAAGCTCAGGTGATGATTGCTCACAGTGGTAGGAGGGCAATTTCTGGGGAGTTTGAGGCCTCGCTAGACCTTCTAAAGGGCAGGAGGAAGCCATCTATGATGCAGTGGCATTACCAGACAGGAAGTGGTTAGAAAAAGTTTTGTTTTGTTTTTTTGCTTTTGGCAATTAAGAGTAGAAATGGGAGTGAAAGAGTGTTCCCACTCCCATTCCGACTCCTAACTTTGGGCATATTTGGAGGCATTAAGAATGGTAATAGGAACAGGCAGCCTCTGGGAAGCAAATTAGGTTTCAGTTTTGGAATACTGGAAAGGATGAAAGTGATCCATTGATCACAGGTAGTCACCAGTAGCTTAGAATGTATGCACTGACTGGGTTCAAACACATTACATTTCCTTAATTGTAGTTTGTTGAAAAAATATAGCTTAGTTCGCACAATATACTAAACTTGAACCAAGGAAATCACATAATGGCTTATCAGTATTTATGAACTCAGTCAGTGCATTATGTCACATAATGATAATGCATATGTTACTGACATAATAGCAGATTCTACATAGAGATAATATAATTTATGAAGTCACTACTATGACCAATTCAAATAATTGGACATTATATTTTATTATACAATAAATACTGTATATGGATAGTTTGAATATGTGTTATCAATAAATATAATTATGTTCACAACTAATAGAGTTATGTGTATATAATGATGTTAGATGAGAATATTAAATATGTTTCACTATGTGCCCTACCTTAAAAATTAAAAAGATGTCAGTCACAATCCAAAATTGCCTTTGCATCTTCTTTCTTTATTTTTCAGCTACAGATTTCCTTGTTGATGACCATTGTGTGATAAAGCTTCTGAAAGGGCTATGCTTGAAATATCTGGGCAAGATATCAGAAGCAGAAGACCACTTTACTTACATTCATTTCAAGTAAGTTTCCAGACTAGAAGATACTAATTAACACTAAACCAGGAATGGCTACATCAAATTATCAAAGCCTTCAAGCAGAGTCTCTTCATGTCAGTCAACAATCTACATGTATTTATTATACTTTTCATCACATTTTAGACCAGGAGATGGGTATTAGAATATAAGTTACTCTGGAAAGAATGTTGGCCATCTCCTGCGAGAATGGCTACATCAAAAGAAGATTTGTCTGGTAACTGGGTAGCTGTGTCAGTCTGGTGTAGAACTAGTAGCGATCAGAGTCACAAAAGCCTGTAGTTTTAAAATAGCTAAAGTGGCCTGAGTTATGTAACATAAGGAGGCATAGTCATCATATCGCATATTTTACTAAGAATCCACAGCTCAGTTGCATAGTCCATGCATTATAGAACACATGAAGGCCAAGCATTACATTAACCGCTATTTTTCCATATTGAAGGAAGCCGTTTGTAAAATTTGATTTCTCTGTCAGCATATCTGCTAATATTATTTTTTGTTTAATGTCAAGAGCTTATGGATTGTGCAAAGAAGAGGAGGCATGTCCAAGATAATACCTACAGCTTAGATATTGCTTATAAATTGAAGTAGAAGTATGTACATATAAAGTCATCCTTATTATGAGTCTTGTTTGTAAGGTCTAATTGTGGTCTGCTTCTTCAAAAGGACAGGTAACAGCATACTGTTGGCATATGTCTTCCTTCACTCCTTGTCATAGGACAGAGCATTCATCTTCTTTATTCTGCAGTCCCACGCACAGTTTAAGGAAAGTTAGGGAAGAGCTTCTGCACTGCCTTTTGAAAATGTAATGTCTGACCTGATCAGGCTGAGTCTGCAGTGAAATACTGAGTGCATAGCTCTTTGTTAGGATTTAAAAGAATTGTGTTTTAGGTATTTCACTTTCAACAGATCCATGGCGGCACAAATGGTAGCTAGAAGTGAAACCTGCTGCCTCAAAATCTGTAGAGATGCAGGGAGGATTGGCCTAATCCACTGGATAAGGTGGCTGGTGGTGGCAAAAATATTTCATGTTCCATTCTTCAGCATTTACAGGAGCAGAGGTTCTTTAGTGAAAAGCTGTCTTTCTTCCACCACTTCCTAGGAAGACCATATGATCATCTTAGCAAAGAGCCTGTGCTGTCCTGAACATTGAGGAGTTTTAAATGTTGAAAACCAGAAACATTAGAACTAAATATTTATTTTTAATTTTAATATAACACAGGCAATCACATGCCTAAAGTGAACAGTTAAAGAAGGTGGATTTTATCTGATGCCCTCATTTTCTTTGTAGATGCTACAGATACTGTGTTCAAGTGGAGATATTGGAGTGATTGCAAGAATAGCCCTGATGGACTTCTGTGTCCAAAGGGTCCATAATTTACTAGCCTAAAATGCATGGAAACAATACGAATTTCTTCTTGTCAACTTTTAATAACTTTACTTTTTATTCTTGCCTGTAAAACTATTGTTATTCATTACATGGGCCTTGTCATTTCTTCTTTAACCTACAGTGAAAAGAAGATCAAGTATGATCATTACTTAATTCCAAATGCACTGCTTGAACTTGCTTTGTTATATCTGGATCAAGGTAAAATAGAAGAAGCAATTAAGATCCTGGAAAGAGCAAAGTAAGCCTGTTGAAGCCTATCTTTCTCACTGTTATTAGTTATGGTAGATAAGATGATGGGAGGGGTTGAAGCAGGTTTGCTGCAAAATTTTTAGAGGGGCTCCAGTAAAAAATAATTCTGTCTTAGCATATAGTGGTGCTTATTTTCACTCATTTTGGTATATAAACGTTGAGGATATATAGTTTGCTTTACATTATAATAACTGAGTGAGAGTCAAGTTATTCATTTAGTTATTTATTTATAAATTATATTAAAACTTATGTTTGTCTTTCAATGAAGTCATGTGCTAGGCTTTGAGCAAATTGTGAATGTGCTGTGTTTGATACTGGCCTCATCTAGACAATTTTCAGTATTATAATTTAAAAAGGGGAGGTTGTGCATCTGTGTTATTTATGTTAGTCTCATAACTGAACAACTGAAGTATCTGTTCTTATTGGCAAAATCTCTGTTACCATCATGCTAGTTTTGGAGATAATTTGCTGCCAGATAGTGCAATGCAATGAATGTTTACTTAGTGGTCCCACTGTGTTTAATGGAAGTTTCTCCCTAATCCATGTGTTTAAGACTGCAAGTAGAATAGTCTGTAATAACAGAATCAACAAGGTACTTGACAACTTGTGGTGGCACCAGTGAAGGACCTCTCTTCAAACCATTAAAGCAGCTATATCTTTTGCAAGCTCTCATGTCTACGTTGAAAGGTTCTCCTAGTTGTTTCCACCTGCATGTTTGTGTAGAGCCACTTTACCCACAAAATATTTCCTCTGAATGCTTGGCATAGCTCTACTACATCAACAGAGGATAGGCTGATGGAGACATTATACACTGTACTTTTAGTATTGTAGTACTATTATGGTTATGCAACTCCCTGCCAGAGGAGGTCACATTGGCCTACTTTTAAGTGGTTTGAAGTTTTTTTTTTTAATTTAGAATAATATTGAAACTTATTCTGTTCTGATCAACTGCTGAATTGTTCTATCATTTGTTTTATGGGGTAGGTAGCATTTTATGTTTGGGTACTGTTGGTTTTATTTTGCATTCTGAGGGCTATTCTAGTTACCTTTTTTGCCCAGTTAAAAAGAGAGAACATAGATGTTTTCATAACCATACATTTTAAAAAATCTAGACTTTATCACTTATTTGCATTATTTATCATTTATTTGAAGGGATTTTTAGCTAGCCTCCATTCTCCATCAGGTTGATTGACTGATTGACTTCACTTTACTTGGGTGCAGCCCAAACCCAAAAGGCTCTAGGCAGCTAACAATCTTATCATAAAATAAAGTATCAAAAGCAAACAAACAAAACAAAGTCATAAAACCAGAAAATCATAGCAATCATGCACTCACAACCCCATTTCCAATCAATGCATTCCATCCTCCTGCGCTAGATGGAACAGGTGAGTCTTAACAACTTTCCTAAAGCCTAGGAAGAAACAGAGCCAACCGAATCTCCATGGGAATAGAGTTCCAAATTGTCAGGAAAGGCTATTGAAAAGGCTCACATGTGAAGCTCCATCAGAAGGAAATCATAAAGGGATGGTCCTGAAGGGATTTGACCCTATTTGATTTGGTCATATAAGCAGATGAATAAGGGAGAATGCAGTCCTGGAGCCATGTAGGGGTTTAAAAGTGACAAACAGTATCCTGAATCACACTCAGAAGCCAAATAGCAGCCATTGCTGCTCCCTAAGTAGTGGGGTTACCCAAGTGTATCAGGATATAGCCATCATTGTCAGGCAGCTGCAGCTTTTTAATGTTCTTCAAGGGCAGCCCCATGTAGAACTCATTAAAGTAATCCAAGCTGGAGTTGACTAGGGGATGAGAAAGACTTTGTAACCTAGGAATGGCTGAATTGATGCACAAGATCTAACTGTATAAAAGCCCTTGGAGCCACAACTGCCACCTGCTCATCAAACGGGAGTTGTGAGTCCAGAAGGACTCCCAAATTACAAAGTGCCTCTGAATGGAGGAGTACAACCGTTCAGGATCAAAGATGGCATTTCTCTGGGATCATTAGGCCCCCAAACCCAAAGCCACTCCATATTGAACACATTGGGCCTGAGTTTCTTGCTCCCCATCCAGGCCTTGACAGCCTCCAGGCATTGAGTCATCACTTCTACTGCATCACCTGTTTGACCTGAGGATAAAGTATATACTTAGGTATCATTGGCACACTGATGATACTGGGCCCTCCACTGACACATGATCTACCCCACCAGTTTCATGTAGTTGTTAAAAAGAAGTGGGGAGAGAAGAGAGCCCTGAGGCACTCTGCATTTGGCTTTCCTTCCTCCGACTGGATCTTCCCCTCCAGGAAGGAGAAGAACCATTGTAAAATAGTGCCTACCACTCCAAGCCCTTGAAGATGGTCCCAAAGGATACCATGGTTGATGGTATTGAAAGCAGCTGATGCCCTTCCCTGATCCTGGGTTGTTCATAGATCATCCACAAGCACAACCAATGCAGTTTTCTGAAACCTAATTACCAGGGGTCTAGATAACCTGTGCAGAGATGCCACAACATTCCACAGCAATGAAAGAATGATCTGTCCACAAGGGATGAAGTTTAGTGCCCCCCCTTTCAGATTATGTCACATCTGCCATAAGGCAAAAAACAGATCTAGTGTATAAAACTCTCAGGTGTGCCAGGCACTCAATAAGCTCATTCAGATCCAGGGTTGTCATGGTGGCCATGAACTCCTAGGCCACTCCAGATTCCTCACCCAAGGAAGGCAGATTGAAGTTCCTAAGCACCGTTAGCTTGAGGAAATGTGCCACCACCCCAGCAATTAGGTTGAGCAGCCCTGGCAGGGATAATACTGTGTAGCAGGGAGAGTAGTACACAAATAGCAAACCTAACTTGCCCTTTGGACCCAGGTGCACAAGCAAGGTTTCACATCTGATTGTCGGCAGAGTAGCATCTCTGTATGCCGGCAGATACTCTCAGATGACAAAAGCCACTGCCCTTTCTCTATTCTGGGATTGTGGCTGGTGCCAAGAAAGCCTCATTGAATGCAGTAGGACTATGCTCTGAGTAGACGTGAGTAAGATCGCACCATTTCAGTGAGCGTAGTAGAAGTTATACATAGGGTTGCATGTTAATCTGCTAATATGTATCAAAAGTTTTATTTATACCAGTAAATTAGCTTCAAGAAAACATTTTTCTTGGAAAGTGCTAGGGATTGGCATTACATATAAACAAGGTGCATTGTTCTATAAATTGTCCCTTAAAGAAGCAATATGGAATTTGGGAGGAAACTTCTTTTCCCCTTTTCTGTGTAAAAATTACTCTGTTAAGTATGGATGATGGTAAGCATTGGAGATATGAACTTATCACAAATATCTATTTGTTTTAGGCAAAATTACAAGAATTATTCCATGGAAACGAGGACACACTTCAGAATTCAAGCTGCTTTGCATCAAGCCAGATCTTTCCCAGATGATGATGATCATTCTATAGCAACTGTAGTTTTGTAATGTTACTGTTGTTTTTTTTTTAATCAGCAGCTCATTGGGTATATAAACCTTCACAGGTTATTACTGGCAATGCTTTAAGATGGTTTCCATGTTCAAGTTCAGCACAAACATTTTTTAATTTTAAAAATTCTGAGGAATCAACACTAAAAAGCAGTATTTTTTTAGTTATCTATGTGTGTCACTTTCAGCTAGTTATAAGCATTTTAAAATATATCTGTTAAGTTGGAGAGGAATAGTAAATAAACTAGTAGAAGCTTGAAGACTTTCTGCTCATACCTTGATCAGATTCAGATGAGATTATTAATTTTTACATGGACTTATTAAATGGACTTTCTTGATAATGAAGGAATAATCGAATTACCTGTTAAATTACTTCTTTAAAGACAACAATGTGCATTCCTATAAGCTTGCTTACTTACCCCACAGTGAAATAGTTGAGAAAAGGTAGAACCTCCCTCCTGTCAGCTCTCCTTTAATAGGCAAGTGCCAACTGAATGCTGATAGGGCAAAAGATTGAGTTGTGTAATACTGTTGCTTTGCCAGTTTGACCGCTTATCAAGGATTTTAGGATAAATATGAATATTAAAATAAGTGAAGAACTACAGCAAATAATCCTGAATCATTTTCTGGGACAAAAGCCAAGTTTAGCGTTTGAAAAGAATTAGGGTCATTAAAATAATTTCAATACACTATTATTCCAAAGCAGTAAACAATTAATTCAACTTAGGCAAATTAGTTCACAAAGTATTTTATATAAGAAAGCGTTTTAAGCTGGAACATGTATAGATCAAGCTGTTGATTCTCAATCAGTGGGGTATCTCAGGCGGGACACAGTAAGTCACTGAAACTTTAATTAGCTTTTGAAACTATATATGCTAAATATAATAACACAATGACTATAAATTTCCTTAGAAAAAGGGGGCTTTTTGTTTCATCCATGGTAGGACCAGTTCCTTTGAGTGAGAACTTCTGGGCTAGACTAACCAGAGCCTTGAGGTAAAAGGAATATAGACAAAACAGTATTGTATTTTATCACCTGTGTGTTCTATACATATTCTCTGGTTGGACAGTTCCTGAGAAATTGCTGATTTCTTCTCCAGTTAAATTAACACCATATACTTAAGCATTTTGCACAACTGAATTAACAATTTCACATGCAAATGTTACATGTGCAGTTTGGTCCTTTGCTGATATATTACGTGAAGAAATGTATCTGTCATCTCCGATTTTGCCATTTTTCCATTTCTGTAGGGACCTGAAACAATGATATCACATGTGATTTATTTATTCAATGTGCAATTAATTAAATATCCTGTGACAGGATACTGGATTAGGTAGGCCTTTTGTCTGTTGCAGCATAATTTCTCTTTTTGGATTTAGACCAGAGAATCTTTTCCCACAATAGAAATTACTTGCTTGGTCTTGAAACTAGAAATTATTTAATATTTTCCAGTTTTAAAGAATGCAACTTTGAGTAAGAGATTGCCAGCTTTACTAGAGCAAATGCAGAACACTTACAGTAACTGTTTATACTAGATGTGAAATATGTGTATAGTATAGATATACAAAGCCAGTTCTTGTACTTTGGCTGTAATATTAAATATTTTTGTGGTTCTTGAAATTTGTAGCATGTCATTTTCTCCAGTAATTGATGGTCCTTCTAAAATACCCCCTTTTTTTTTAATGGACATCCTGCAGTAAAGTTCATTGTTGCATCTGTTCATTTTTTTTATCCATGAGAATTAGTGCATGATCCCAAGTATGGGATATTTCCTAGTATGGGTGCTTCGGCTATCATCATCGTTCTGTTGGTTGTATTGGAATGTGAAAGTTAATAGGTTTTGCTAAGTCAAAGTCACATTGTAAGCTGATCTTTGGTAGGTTCTATTGAAATGGGTGCAGATTGGGATTTAAGCAAATAACCAGCATTACAGACATTCCAACATAATTTAGGAAACCTCTTTGGAGATTCACCTATGGAAGTTTGTGTGCGCACTTTAACATTTGGAAGCAAATCAAACTTACAGATTCATGGATTTAGTAATTCTTTTTTTTTAATAACTTTTATTGCAGAGTTATGGCATATAGTGCACCCACTAAATCAGAAAACTATATTGTGCAGCATTCAGGCACTTGGGCAAAATCCAATGTTGTATAAGCCATCTGTGTAATGATAGTTTCTTTTGCTCTTCATACATAACTCCTTTCTTCTAGAGCATGTCCCTAAATTAGGAAGCATATAATCAGTTGTAGAGAAACAGCAATTATTGCCCCAGCTGAAATACATTATTGTCAAGTAAATGACTTCTTTCCAGTTATACATTCCAATAGATTTTACATAGTTTTAAGTACACCTGCTATTGTACTTGATTCTTCCTTCTAACTATTACTGAGAAGTGTCATCTGCCACTTGACCAAATTGTTCCTCAATGTAATTTGTACAGAATTGTACAGAGTGATTCTAAGGTACAAATCCTGCTCCTAAATGTAAGTACTGCTTCTTTGTAGCAGAGCACAAATATGCTTTGATGATTATGACCATATATTTGGACAGATAAATTAAAAGGACCGAATTAAGTTTCTCCCACCAGTAATCATGCCCCTGGTGCTGAATCTGGTGTGTGTGACTGGGTAATCACCTTTGCTAATCATCTAAGTATTTCATAATCATATTTTAAAATAGTTTTGGGAAGAAAATTTTTGTTCCCAGGGAAGCCTGCTGAGAGCTCATAGAGTAGTGTGTCCCTTCCTGTCTCAAGCCACAGGAATTTCTGATGGGGAGAGTCCTGTTGCTCTTAGCCTACAGTGATCGGCCAGGAATAGAGTCTGTGTTGGAAGAGGCCATGGATTGAAATAAAAGCTTGTACCCTATATTCCCCTGATATGCCATGAACAAAAGACAGGAATTTTGCCTGTCCTGGAATTGACACAGTTAATTTCCTTTGTAAGAGTGTCAATCAAAATATGCAAAAGGAGACTGCTATTCTCAGTGTACACACTGGGAAGGCTTAAGTGGCAATTTGTCCACTAGATGTCTGCCTCTGCAAGAGAGGTTATCATAAAGGGGGAACGAAACAGGCAGTCAACACAAAAGACTGCCAATTATAAATTGTTTGGGCCACTTACCATATAAAGTGTGATGGGATTATATGAGGGCTTCCTCACATACCTAACTGCTTCACAGTGGCTTGCTGGGCAACTGATCAGAAAAGGACCAAGCAGGCATTGTACAAATGTTCACATCCATAACTCTGATTTGAGTGTTAAAGAAACAAAGTGTTTCTGGACACACACTTTGACTTTTGCACTAAGAAAGCTCTATGGTTACTGGCTCTTTCAATAAAAGGTGGCTAACAACCATAGAGACCCCTCAAGGGCACAAGTCAGGATACTGGACTGTAGGGTTGCTGATTATACAGGAATATGGTCTCTTGGAAAGTCAGCAATGACGGCAACAGCAATAAATCAGGAAGTGGGAGACAAGGGAGAAGGAGAGGTCATGAGCATCTGCTGCAGGCTAAACCAAAGTCCCCCAGGGGGCATATGTTGGCTGTGGTTTGCCCCCCGCCCAGCTTCTCAGTGGTAAAAGTTAAGACGTAGGAGGACATAAATTCCCAGCAGATTAATACTACTCTCATAGCACTTTAAAAAGAGTCATAGAAAGAAAACAGTGAACATGAATAAGGTGTTTAAAAATGGTTCATTTGCCAATTTAACATCCAAGGTAAAAGAAGAAAAGTCTGGCTATAATACTTAACAAGATAGACATTAACATTTATGGAAAAAACACATGGAATTATAAGGTAGTATGGTTTACTCTGAAAATATTGCACAACTTCCTTTTATCTCTCTTTACTTCTGGTAATTAAGAACAGTTGAAGGGGGTTGCACTAAAAAGTTTCTTGTAAAATGTAAATCAACCTAACATGGTACTTGCTTCAAACGGCTTTCTTCGATGCACCATAGTGTAGCCATCTGTATCTGATGCAGAACTGCAATTGAGCTATTTAGACAGGTACAAGGGTGCTGAGGCACATACGGAGCTCTTCCCCAGCCTCTGTTTTTGTTTTTGTTTTCATTTCTAAGGCTAACTCTGATCATGCTCGATATGCCTTGCTCACTATAATTTGGAGAGAAAATCTGCTTGCATAGGAGCTGTATGAATAAACGAGTGTGCACTTTGGATATGGACTGAAGCATCTGAATGAAAGGTTCTGCAGAATAAGAAATAAGCCATATGTCAGATGTTTGCATACTACTAACCTTGTAGAAATTATTTGACATCTAATTACTCTATACTGTTAAGCTTACTGTCTTCAGTGCAGCAGTTTGTTTAAATACAACTTTTAAAATCATGTCCAGTCCTCCGTAATACAGTGCTATTAACTGGAGCCTGTATCTCATGCTAAATTAAAAGAATTGGCTATAAGTCAAATGTATAAAAATTACATTAAAGAACACTCAATAGGACAAAGCCCCACATGCTAAATTGACAACTGTTTTTATAACTACACTTTCCTTGCATGACTTTCTCTACAAGCACACCTTTTTCTGGTTTCAGACATACAATAACTCAAAACAGCCCTCACGAGCTGCAGTTCACTCACTTGATCAGTCCTATGTAATTCTGTGCCAAATACAATTTTTGCATTTTTGTACAAAACATAAAATATAGATTATTTAACATCTGCTTGACAGACTGCTTTGCCAGCCAACAAAATACAAAAGATACATTGATTACATAGACTAAGACACAGTATGGTCTTTCAAATCTAAGAACTACAAGAATGAAAGATGCAGTATCTTTTTTATATGGTCCCATGTAATACTTTTTGTAAGATGGGTATTTAAACAAATTTTGTGATGATAGGTGATCTTTATCATGCTTACATGTTCACCGTTCTCTGTCTTTACCTGCCAATAATAACATTGATCTTGGTTCAGCAAACTTTAGGCAAAATGCAAGGCAGGGAAAGAAAAGCACTGGCTTGTCTTCTGATTTTTCTTTAATACCTCGACATTAAAATGTTGCGTACAGAAAAGAGATAGTGCATCTCACATTTGCGTATAAGCCAGGAGATCTTTTTGAAGTCCACATAATCCTAACTGCAAACAACATATAGCACTTGTATAACAGGTTATAAATAAACTGATTTTCAAGCATAGAGCCAGCTCAAACATAAGAATATGCTATTTAAAAAGACTAAGGCAAAATGGATTCCATTTCCAATGGATAAAAAAAGAATTGTGCAAACAAGCTTAAAACTATTTTTGTGCCAGTGTTATAAAAACGTAGGATTTTTTGTAAATAGAGCATTGACCCAAATACCAGGAACCTGTGAGCAATCTGAGCAGACATGCCCTTTTCCTTAGGAGAAAGGATGTTTCAGTACCTCTTTCTCTTTCTTCCAAGTACACATGTGCGTCTCACACTGCTTCTGCTCTCTCTCATACAAGCAGAGTACATTTTCTCATCGCAATACTCTCGTTTGAGTCAATGATGCTTGAGCAGAATATCTTGCTAATTGAAGTCCACACAATTTAATATTTAGTATCTACTATTACTCTTCACGCAATTCCTCTGGATGGGTATGCTAGCAGGCTTTCATGAAGAGTAACTATTTTTAAGCACTGGATCAAGGCTTTACATAAAAATAGCATCCTATGTGTCTATATTCCCTAAAAGATGTCTCTTCTTTCCTCTCATTATCAATTACCTTAGTTGGAAATTATTGTCTTGTAATTTTTAAGGAAATGAGCTTTTTGTGTGCATGATTTTGTTTACTATCTCTGGTTCTTTGGGTAGAATGATAGGTATAATCCATTAAAAATGATGTTTTCTTGACAGGTCAGAAGAGACACTCTGGCTCAGTTAGTCTCATAAGAGGACAATAATGCTGCATCAACTGGCTCCATACAGGAAGGACACGTGAAAGATCTCATCAACCAGTCATCTATACAGTCCAGATGGTAAATATGCATGCAGGGCAGGAATCTGATAGGGTCCCCGTAAACAAAGTCCATCATACAGATCACACATCTAGAAAAAAAGAAAAACAAGATGGAGAAAATGCAAACTGTATAGACATATTCTCATGAAATTATAGAGAAAAATCTTGCCTTCTAATATATATTAAAGTTGTTACTTGTTAAATCTTTGATATTAAACTTTTAGAAGTTATTATTACATTATAATCTCTGAAAATCCATATGAAATTTATTAAGGTTGCAAATCTGTGCACATTTATCTCAGAATAAGCCTCACTGAGCATACAGGGTTGAATGAGTGTATGTAGAAGCCTGCTATAGAGCCTATTTTAATTAACAGAGATAATAACATAGTTGAAGACAGAATCCCTTTATTTCATGTTTTTAAGATTTGCAATTTCAGTTTAAGTAATTTAGAATAGTTTTATTATTTAAGATGATTGTTGCTTACCAAATTTCTTGTTGAGAGTTTAATTTTGGGGATGAGTACATACTTCTCAAGCCACTTGGAAATGCTATGCATTTTTATTATTATTGAGTTTTTAATTCAATAAAGCACTTAATATTAATCTCAGTTTTCCTAATATGTATTACATTATTTCTCTTCGTTTCTGGGCTAGATACTGCTAAGTTTTAGATTTTAAAAATGGGGGAAATAAGCCATTTGTGCAATCTGAAATCACCTTGGAACAATTCTGTGAAAAACATCACATTTTGGATATTCAGATTTTTTTAAATATCTATGCCACTGAAAGTTATCAGCACTCCATATGGATTCTACATGTACATAAAGAAATTTGATGTTATTTGTTCACTCAACATTTTGTGCTTGTTTATTTCATAAACAAAATCACTCAACATGTGATGTCCCAATATGAAAAGATAATCCCCTTTTAGATTTAAGAAACTGGTTGCACCACATTAGCTACAATAACTATAACCAGTTGCTTTCTGTAATTATGGATTTTGGCCCATTCCTCCGGGGCAAGTTCAACTCAGTAACATATGAGGGTTTTCTAGCACAAACTGTTCACTTCAGATCCTCCAACAATATTTTTATGGGGTTTACATCTGATCATTCCAAAACACTGAATTTGTTCTCAATAGATTGAATCCATAATTGATTTCTCACAAATGAAAATGCTACATTGGTGAACTAGAATTCAGAAGAATTCTCTACCAGAGAGAGGAGCAGGGCAACTATTTCTGCCAATTCCTTCTTTCAATGGAGCCACCAATGCCACTTTAGATACCCTTGCATTGTGGGTGTCACTGGGCTCGACACACTCTCCACTCCTTTTAACATTTATGATGTCACTGCTGAGGTCATCCAATGGCATGGGGTGAGGTATCTTCACCATGGGCTGTCCAAGTGATGCCGTGGAGGTTCTGTCTTGGTGTTGGGAGCCTGTGGAGGTTTGGATGGGGCAAAACAGGCTTCAACTCAACCCTAACACAACTAAGTGGCTTTGGATTCTAACACCCCTGGTTCAGGGGATTCTCCATCTTTTGTTCTGGATGGGATTAGACTAACCCACACAGAACCAGTGCACAATTTCTGTTTGAGTAACAGAAGTGACTGTGACCTGGAGAACCTTTCCACAGCTTCATGTTGTGTGCCAATTGCTCCCTTTCTTGGACAGGGAAATTCTAATCATTCTCACATCTTAGTTACCTCCCAGACGAAATGTTGCAGTGTGCTCTACATGGGGCTGTCCTTGAAGAGCATCCAGAATCTGCAGTCGGTACAAAATGCAGCAGCACTGGCAGCTATGGGCACTTTTTAATCCATGTGTGTTACAACTCTGCTCTGTGAGCTGCATTGGTTGCCAATATGTTTTTGGATTCAAGGTGCTGGTGGTTATCTATAAAGTTCTCCCTGATCTGAGGCCAGGTTATTTGCAGGACTGCCTCTCTCCGATCACATCTACCAAACCCCTCAAATGTGACAAGAGAGGCAGGCATGTTACAATTCCCATCCATTAAAGAGTGTCGGCTGGTGGGACTCAGGAAAAGAGCTTTTTCTGTTGCTGTGCCTGCCCTATAAGACATAATCCCCACCCCCCCTGGAAATCAAACTGGCCAAGTCCTTATTTGTCTTTCACAAGGCCCTGAAGAGATGGCTGTGTTCCTAGGCTTGGGGACTGAAATGTCTGCTGGACTTTGTGAATTAGTTTTGCTGAAATGTTTGTACTGCATCTGTACTGATGACTTTTTTGTTTTAACTCTTGGTTGTCAACTATCTTTTTTTTATATTTTTTATTGATTTTTTGCTGATTTTTTAAGTTGTTGTTAGCTGTCCAGAATCAGTTATTTCAGATGGGTAGCCACATAAATTGAATAAATAAATGGATGAACAAATATATACTGTCCTGAATCCCAAAAATAGATACTTAGGGGAAGGGAGAATTGCTTAAAACCATAAATTCATCCGCATCCAAATATATTCTTAAAAGTAAATTTGGGTATTGTTCTATTGTAGATTTTTGCTTCTGTTGACAGATTAAGATCTATAAAATTTATTCTGGCTTTTGGGTGTTTTCTAGTATTATTTTCTGTTTTAATATCTTCAAATCCTAAGCTGGTTTGAGCTGTAAGGGAAAGATTTTGAACTGAATGAAATCAATAACATAATATCCAAGTTCTTAGACTTTCCATCTTTGGATTTGTAAGTCTGCTTTGACATCTAGAAATGTGTCTCCAAGCAGATAATTAAAATATTATGTGACAATCTTCTGTCCTGTTGCTGTGACACAATCAATTTGTGGGAAACAATTTCCATCAGAATTGCTACACACCAGTACTCCAGTCTGTATTTGTGTTATATGGTATAAGTAATTATGTGGTATATCTGCTTTGCATGATAATATGGAAATTATTCATTCCAATTATTAGTAGCAAAACTGAGCTTTATAAGTGTGAAAAAAGCATGCACTGGAAAGCTGTTTGTTGCCACACAGTTCATATCAATATGAATGGGAATTGTCTCTGGAAACAAATTGACTACTACATTCATAATTTTCCATAGCATGACTTTGTTCCCTGTAGATTTTACCTTCAAAAACAGAAGATAATGTACCTTTTGCTGAATGGTTTATAGAGGAACCATAACAGTGCATGCTGAACAGGGGTGCATCACTAATCAAAACAATGTTTTAGTATCCTTTTGCAATGATGAATATCCCTATTTTTATCTACTCTCTGTGACTGATAGCATTTACATCTCATATTGGGCACACACAGCTCTCTAGCAAAGCAGAATAATAGGTAAGCCTCATGTTCCTACTTTATTCCCAAAGTAAAGGAAATTATAATTTGAGTTAAAGTCTGTATAGAATGAAACATACAGGTAATTCTATAATTCAACCTTAATTTTTTGAAAGGATAAGAGGTACAGAGTGGGGAAGAAAAACCCCAATAGTAACAGGAAAAAAAGTCTATAAAAGATTCAGTATATCAAGTAGAGAAATGGTAATTTGATCCTAAATCAGAGAGGGCAGGCTTCCTGTTTAACTGAACACTAGGCAAGCAAAAATACATATTTATAGGAGCGGATCACAATAGCCAAAGTTGGTCAGTTGCTACTGTTCAATGATGTCATTTACATATACCACGAGTGCCACAGTCCCACTGAAATCAACAAAGGAAGCTCAGCTAACTGTCTTTGGACTGGGATTTTAGGTTGAATTCTGACCCTCTCCTGCCCACTGTGCATGTAGTTATTTATTGGATTTTTATCCCAAATGTATTTCTGGTTAACTCAAGGTGGCCTCCTATTTTCTCCACAACAACCACCCTGTGAGATGGGTTGGGCTGAGAGAGAGAGGCTGGCCCAAAGTCACCCAGCTGGCTTTCATGCCAAAGGGAAGACTAGAAGTTGTGGTCTCCTGCTTTCTCCCAGCATCTTAGCCACGGTTTTGTAATGAAATTTAATGAAAATTGATATATTGTAACTACAGTTTTTCCACTTGTCTCCACTGATATTCTGAAGAATGTCACTAGCTGCCCAGTGGGCTCCATTACATTCATTACAGGTAGTCCTTGACTCACAACCATTCGTTTAGCAACTGTTCGAAGTTATGACAGCACTGGAAAAAAGCGATTTACAACCAGTCCTCGCACTTATGACTATTGCAGCGTCCCCACAGTCACATGATCAAAATTTAGGCACTTGGCAACTGGCATGTATTGACAATGGTTGCAGCATCCCAGGATCACATGATCTCCATTTGCGACCTTCCCAGCCAGCTTCTGACAAGCAAAATCAATGGGGAACCATGTGATTCACTTAATGATTGTGTGATTAACTTAATGACCATGTGATTCACTTAAGCATGGTAATTCACTTAATGACTGCTGCAAAAATCTCGTAAAAGCGGGTGTGGTCATGTGATGCCTCGCTTAACAACCGCACTGCTTAATTAATTTTCTGGTCCCTATTGTGGTCATAAGTCGAGGACTACCTGTAATACTTCCAAAAAAGTGTTCCTGAGAATCAGAGAGCCTCCAGAAAAGCATGGAAAGCAACTATAGTATTCTGGCAAGATGGCAGCAGAAAAACCCAGCTTTAGGGGTCTTGACTCATTCAGTACCTAAATCCAAACTATTCATATGTTGCTATGTAAGCAGAACAAGTTGGGCAAACTTTTGCAGCTAGACCGTCACATTCTTCTCAAAAGAACCTCCTGGAGGTTGTATGCTAGAAAGAAGGAGTACCCTGCAAGAATATAAGCCATATATATATATACAACAAATGCCCATATGCACAATTGGTGCAATTAGGCTCAGAAAAAGCTTTTTCTGAGCCTAACTGCAGTGCAGGATGGGAAGGGAATTATCACTGGAACCACACCCTTGTAACCATAAATGCAAATCCCTCCCAGATTGCAGTTAAGCACAAGAAAAATCTCTCATGGAAGCCAGTGAAATACTTTTTCAAACCTAGTTGTTGTGGCATGGAGGCCACTGGCCAGCTAGAGACATTCTTCAGAATATGAGTGGAGACAAGTGGAAAAACTAGTTACAGTATATCAATCTTCACAATAAAGGTTGTAATGCATAGAGATTTTGCTGCATTAATCTTACCAGAAAATAAATAAAACTTGAAAATGACTTCAAATGACCATTAGGGAAAATAATGTGATTTTCAGCATGGCTGCTGGACTTCTGTAGGGTGCTCTAGCTTGGTGCTGTTTACTGCATAATTTATGTGTAATTTTAATTAAACCTAGGCATATACATGAATAAAAGGTCATAGGTCTGTTTGGAAAAGATACAGTGTGTAAATTCAAGCTACCAACAGGCGTTGTTTAAACAATATTTTCTATACTTCAATAGTGCATTTATGCATGTAGTACAATGCATAAATATAAAACAGGTACAGAATGGTGAAAAGATTTAGGTGAAAGATGAGAATCATCTGGCTGTTTTAAATGTTTAAAATATATATTAAGGATGCTCTCAGCCATTTCACTATGCAAAGGAAAATGTACAGCTATTTCCATCCTTTTTTTAAAAACAGATTTCTGAAGTAAGGAAAAATAAAATCCAGAAGTGGTGAGAAAACATGGAAAGAATACAGATGAAAAACAAGGTCATCTGGGCCTGCTGTAAAATTCTGTAAATAAGGCAAGGCAACTGCACAATGAAGGTTTTGTCTGGAACCACCCCAGAAAAGTCCGCTTACCATTAAAAAAAAAAAAAAAGACAAGAAAAAAACAGTATATATAATCCAAGAAGGTGAAGAAAGCGGATTGTAAACAAGGAACAAGATTTTGGAAAAATATGTGAAAGCCATCTCTTAGGTGAGATGACTATCAAAAATGGTATTTCTTCAACTTACTCTCTGATCTTTTTCTCCGAACCATCTCTTCCAGGATCATAGACTCCTTTTGGCAGGTGCTGTATAAGGCCTATCCGTTGTGCTATTCTAATCTGTTCTTCCTCCGTAAGCTGTGTGGCTAGGCGGGTCTGGCTAGGAGTTGGATGGTAAACTGGAACTTGTTCCTAAAATTAAAAGGCGGGAGGGCGGGAGAAGAAAAGAAAAAAGTTAAATTGGCTTTGCCATTTTTAAGCTGATGACAGAAATGAATGGAAATGATTTGCTCCGGTTTCTCTTTCTGCTGGAAGGTTACTCACATGACACTTCCTTCCTTGCTCGCAGTTTTATGGCTTAATTGTAAAAAGAAAATTGAATAAACAGTGACGCCTATGGCATTGCTGGCATGAATCTGTTTTAGGCTGTTCTTTGCAAAGACTATTTAATTTTGACTCTAGGAGTTCTCTATGGATTAATTAAACAGATGTACAAACTTGACATGAGTACCTGCTTGCAGGCTTGGCTAATTGATTCACTTTTACTCTGCCAATACAGAGAAGCTGTCACTGATTTTTTCAACGTTGGTTTGTATAATAACATTGACATAAAGGGAGGACCAATGCATTCATCTTTTAAGCAAACAAGAACTTAAAGGTTATATAGTATTTAATTAAAACTTCAAGATTAGTTAAATAATGGATTCCCCCGCCCCACAAACATTCCTCACGCATACTACTTAGAAAGTACATGAGAGAAATCCCACAAAATTACTAAAAAAGCAAATACTGAAGTAGATTCTAAGATGATGTACTATAGTATAACCCCTTCATGGATCACTGCCTTGTCGTGGCGAAGGGGCTTGCGTAACTCAGTGAAGCGATGAGCTATACCGTGCAGGGCCACCCAAGACGG